CTCTGCATGCTTCAAATGTTTTAAAATGGAGTTTTATCTCAAGTGTCCCTTATTACCCTGTTCCCAGGGTTAGTTCAGGATGCTTTTATTTTGCGTCTGGCACCTTAGGTATAGCATATGGAATTTTTTCAGAGATGCCATACGATAGCCCTTGCAAATACCTTTAAAATGAGCCCATATTCATTTATGAATGTTTCATGGTCAGAAGTTATTAACAAAAAATGATCAAAACCGTCCCTTATTACTCCGTTTGACAGTATACTTCAATGCTCCCACCACCAGCAAAAATAACATGCAGAATGTAATAACAAGTCAACTCAAAACATTTCCTCCAGGAAGATTGCATAGTTGCGGTTACGTCAGAATGGTCATGTACTGCATTATCACAAGTACAGTAGCTGCTTAAGTGAAAACAAATGCTAGTGACTGTTTTTTGTAGGGACTGTAAATAATATGCGTTTAAAAATTACTTTTTAAAGACAACACTTCCAAAGAATCCAGTGTCTCCAATCTTACAAATGTACAATGAATTTCTCATTTAATTTTCAAATTAAAAAATTAGTTTGTCAATTTTTTTTAATATATAAATTTTTTAATATATAATTTTTTTCAAAATTATTTATTCTATTAATTGATTCATGNACGTGGGTCGGGCTGGCTGTACCTTCACCATCAAATTTCCAAAATTCGTATGTTGTGTGCTTTTCGCTTTAATCATAAATCTGCCCGACACACTTTTTTTGGGACGAGCCATAATTCATTTTCTACTTTTTAGTCCAAAAGAAAAACGTGTTTTTTTAAAAAGTTTTTTTAAGTATTTTATTCTCATATATGGAAAAAATGCACTGTTGTGCTTGCCATGTCACGTCTGTCTGTCTGTCCGTCCATCTGTCCGTGACCTCAAGTTTTCGTAGTCAAGAAAATGCGCTCTCTGTCACTCATTGCAGTGAGTACCGAGTTATATTTTTATACATATTATGTAAAAAATTAGGGAAGGGCTGTATAAATCTGTGAAATTCGCATGCAAAATATCAGAGAGAACTCAACTCATACTCTCATAGTGGCAAAGAACATTTTTTTTGCCCTTCCATGCCTTCCTAGTTCTAAAGCATCCCACATTCAATTTTAGGGAAATAAAGATGCTTTTTGTAGTCTCGGTATAGAACCTGCTCTAATAAGAGGTTCTGGTGGTGGCAGGCTGGAATTCTAAGAATGGATGTTCACTTATAAAAAAGCTTTCCACCCAAGTTGAAAAGCTTTCCTTTCCTTGGATACAGTGCTCTGTCAGCCTACCAGGAGACTGACTATAAATGAAAAGGAGGATCAAAAGTGGACAAAATGTTTCAATTGTACCGTAAAGTGGGGTAACTTTGACCACTATTTTTTTCAAAATGATGCCATTTTTTTACTAGATAAGTTAAACTTAAATTGAAACATGCAAAATACAAGTCTATACTCTAGCTTTACTCACCATAAATTGCTGGCTCCTGCCTCTCATAGTTTTGATGTAATTTCAAAAAAAGTGATGGTCTTTGTTACCCCAGCTCTTGGGGTTTCTTTGACCAGGTAATAAATCAATTTTATTTTTTTGGTAAAATCCGAACTTCAAATAACTCCAGGTTGTGGTGCATTGTAGTAGAACTCTTCTAGTTACATATGCAAAAGACAAATTTTAGGAAAGTGTCATAGTTTGCAAATGGGGGGCACCGCCACCTAATGGGCAAAATGTGACCACCTAATGGCAGCCGTGACGGGGTAACATTGACTGATTTGGAAATTAAGTTAAAATTACCATATATAAGACTCTGTAGAGTCTGAAACATAAAGAAAAAACATTAATAGGTGTATCAAACATATGTAGCCTCAGTATTAGGCCTTTGATGGCCATTGACAAAATTTTTCTATGTCAAATCATTTTTGAGTTTTGGGGGTTTTTGTTAAAAAACGAAAAGTGGCCAAAGTTACCCCGCCGGTCAAAGTAACCCCAGTTTACGGTATAGTACATTAGGTTTGTAATAGAATTATTTGGATGTCTCTTGTTTGATAGATATTTTTTATTTATCTTGTATTTAATGGATTTTTAAAAAAATTCTTGGCCTTTTGTTTGTAATGATCAAGTTTCAGTTAAGTATTTAGTTAACCAGTACTGTAGTACATATACCATACTTGGGGGCGGGGCTTATGGGCACAACCAATCACAGCTTGAAAGCATCCCCATCAACCAATCACAGCTTGAAAGCATTTCCATCAACCAATCACAGCTAGAAAGCAGATAACATTACAATTCCATTATCCAATCACAGCTGGAAAGCTGAAAGTGGCTAAAATCACAAACCAATCACAGATGGAATTCTGGATAGGGATAGGATATGTAAATAATGGACTGAAAGTGTAAAGTTCCTGGCCTTTCCAAGCTTACAGGTCCTGCTTTCCAATATGCTATGTGTACTGGTTAATTTATTATCCCTCTAGAATTCCACACTGGGTGGTGGAATGAACCAAAATACTAAAAGTTGAAATAAGGTTAACTATTGTTGTATTCATTGTGGTGATGTTCATATATAAGCAAATCTTATTTTTATAATTAAATCCAATTCTAAATTTCTTAATATTTTTATTGCATTAATTCAAAATTATGAACGTAACTGCTATTGTTCTTCAAGTTCATTTTTGAGTCCTACAACTACAAGTAGATTAGTAAATATATTGGATACTTGCATTATCAATTTATCAGACATGAAAATAAAATGCTAAAAAAATTATCAAAATATTGGGTAGATGAGGGAATTAAAAATAAACCATTTCTAGAAAATCTCTGGTTTGCCACTATGGACAGAAGTTCTCTAAGATTACAGGTAAAAGCAATCATGTTACAGGTGGTTTTCAATTTTTACTGAGGAAAAAAGGCTGATTTTCTTATTTTTGACTGAAGAAATGTTAATAAGGTAATAAATGTATAAAAATGTTCCAATTCATGTGTGGCTTTTGCCCAATTTTTCATTAATTTGGAATATTGAACATAGTTTTTAAAATATTGTAAGTGAAGAATGATTCTTTTACTGATGATTTTTTTATTCTAATCAAAATGTGCTGTTTTTTTATTTTTGAAGAAATTACTTTTCATAGGAATAGGTAAAATTTACCATGGTTTTAGTCCTTTTTAGCGCATTTTCTCATTTATGGAAAAAAGGGCTATTATGCTCATCATGTCTGTCTGTCTGTCTGTCCATGATCACTTTTTTGTCAACAAGAAAAATGCGCTGTCACTCACTGCAGTGAGTACTGAGCTACGTATATTTTTTAGTTTTTGCCAGACAGTAAAGTATGGGTCAAGAAGACCAAATTCATTGCTCCAAGGAGGCCAGAATATGATCAAAGTGGACAACTATTGCCAATAATAATTCTCCAAAACAAATGGGAAAATTGGACAGAAACCACCTGCATATTAGACCTAAATGCCCATGAATTATGCCAATTTCACTCTTTTCTATCTCACTTTTTCAATTTCTTCAGCAAAACTAAAAGGACATAAAAATGGCCTAATTTCATCTACAATTTCTAAAAAATCACCTGTGAAGCAATTGTTTTTACCCTTGATATTAGGAAAGTTATGCCCAATCTTACAGATTGGTCACCATAGTCAGTATTGTAATTTTTAGTGCATTTCTCATTTATGGAAAAAATGTGCTATTGTGCTTGCCATGTCCGTCCGTCTGTCCATGACTTCACGTTTTCATCAACAACAAAATACGCTTTCTGTCACTCACTGCAGTGAGTACTGAATAATATTTTTCTACTTATGAATGAGATCTTAAGGCTCTAAAGTAACCAATTTTTTAGGCACTTTGAGTCTTGCAGCCTGATGTGCACTGTGGTTAATAATTGAGTAAGGGGTAATTCATCTAGTAAAAATTTAATGCCTCCAAAAATGGCAGGAAAGCTCTAGTTGCAGCTCAAAATGAAAATATATTCCATGCTAGTCCATAAATTGCAATTTACAATTTAAATTGCTTCTGCATAATGATCAGTACTGACATACCCACAATACAATTATTATGACTGATGCGCAATGGTTGGCACAGACTTAAGAGCATTGTGATTGATATTATGGATGGGTGATGATTTGCAAAAATGGAAGTGCATTACTATCAATATGGCCAATATGCAATGATTGTCACAGAGGTATGTGCCTTACAATTGCTGCAAGGGACGTTCAAGCAATAAAACTATGAAGGAGATACACGCAGTGACTGTGGTGTTGATTCATCTATCCACAACTTGTGTTATCATGGACGCCAATTTAAAGTCAAGATGGCTGGCAGAAGGCTTGAAAAAGGATCCCTATCTTGACCTAAAGCCAGTATATACTTAACATCCTGGCCATTGTGTCTCGATTATGAGTGGCATCTGTCCGATTTTTGAGATTATAATTTTCCTAAAGCTGTTGATAAGAAAATGGTTTTCTGTGTAATTTTGAAAAATGTCTGGCCAAATTTAACCATTTATTATACTTTTTTATTGTATTCTTGCAAATGAAATTAGGCAAGGACCAAGGGGAGAATTAACTGTGAGACATGTCAATAGGCTTGACATGGCTGCCTAATTTAACTTGTGTTAAAGACATAAGTTGAATATATTGCAAGTCAAATTCAAATTAATTCAACTTCTACTTCTTAATCACAAATATGTGCTCTATCTTGAGGTATACAGTCTAATTCATGTAATTCCATTCTTTGCCCTTTGTGTTTTTTGTTGAGCACTTGACTAATAATCATATAAAAGAAACATTAGAATAAATATTTCATAAAGCAATAAAATTGAACTATTGAAAACTAGACCAGTATAACTCAATTTTCCCCTCAAATAAACATTCATGAATTTTTCATGCAGTTGTCAAATGAATGACATCATCATTGGCTGAGCTCTGATTGCATTCATTTCTGAACTTTTCTTTCACTCTGCAGCATGTCCTATAGAATTTAAGCAAGAATGATTTAGCTGATTTTTGTTGCTTCAAATAATTCTATGGGAAGAATTGGCATAGAAGCTCATCTGGACAGCATGCTTGCCAAGGGAGATTGCCTCTAGAAGATGAACCAGTGGCGGCCAGTGAGTGTTTCATCAACAATTACATACTTGCCCATGCAGTGATGTTGCACTGATGATTTAGTGATATTTCTTAAAATGACATGTTAAACCAGTAAAAAACTTTGTGAAAGAAACATGACCAAGTAAAAAAACAACTCATTTCAATTTTTTAGCAAATATTAAATTATTTGGTTAAATATCATCCTCCTTTACAAAGCATGTTTTATAAATTTTATTATTACAGTCTATTTACAGAATAATTTGAAAAAACTTGTATGCACATTACTTGACTATTATATAATACAGCTTTCTTTATAACCTATTATACAAGCAAACAATGATCCTTTGTTTTAATGTTCAAAGCTGCAATACATTACAGATAGAAGTTGTTTGATGTGAAATAGTAACTTATGAAGTATGAGATCATAAATTTTGTAATTACTGGGATTTAGCCCATATTTTGAAATAGTGCTGTTCAGTGCTTCAAATATGCTGAACATATACATTTGTATTTTCATAAAATAAAGTGTAGAAGTGGAAGCAATGAAAGTTGCAACCGTTTTCATTAAGAATACCACCTACATGATGATAGTATGGCATCTTTTGAAATTCCAATTTCTCCCTATTCAGTCCTGGGACTGGTATAGAAATTGATGGGCTGGAGGTCTCAGGTCAGACTTTTGCATTGGTCATCCACACAACTCTCACTCATATTCAAAAAGTTCAGTCAATGCACCTGCCAGAAAATATATTCAATTTAAAAGATAAATAAGACATCCTTACAGTGTGACACTATTAACTTTAATATCCTATGAAACTAAGATAAGTGAAGAAAATATTTCAGATAAGGAATTGTGGTATAGATATTTGTCATGCATTCTGTTCATTGATTTACTTACTTTTAATCATCATTGCATTACTTCAGCAACAAGAAATTTATATCCGTTTCTAAAGTGTTACATTAAAAATTTTTGTTGATGAAACCCCAATGTACTAATACAACTAATTTTCTTTTCAGCTATTTCCCACTTGTCACAATCCAGAGAATAAGAACAAAATTTATTTTCATTTTTAATTTAGATGTAGTGTTCATTATCATTTATCATAAAGTTACCAAAAATGGCAGCATTCCCAACAGAAATGGAATCTAAGTTCCCTCTTCCCCCCACCCAATACATTAATTTATACACCGATGATAATATTCGCAAAGGACGTGTGCCTCGACCACCACCCCCTCCTCCTAATGAGTATTCCATGTTCAGTGTGCCTTTCAATGCTGATGACCCCATCATTAGGCCTCTAGAAAGCCAGGTAAGCTTCAATTTTTCAGAAAATTTGTTAACTAATAGCATTATTGTCAATTGCAATAATTAATTTGTAGATTTATGTAGAACAACATAATTACCATGCCCTTGTTTAGCATTGTTTACCCACATATAGTTTCCTACACATGTAAACAGAAAATTGCATACTATGACCCATTGATGTCTGAAATTAAATTTAATCCTTATAGATACAAAAATTCTACTTTCTTTGTCTTGAATTGAAAATCTTGGCCATTATAATCAAAACCTGAAATATGAAGCATTTATTTTCTGTCAAATTGTTGCGGGTAGAGGACCATTTAGATTTAAAATCTACAACATATCCTACAAATATATTGACATATTTCTTTTTCTCAACTTATTATCTCATAACAAATCATGAAGTTTTATCTTATTCACTTGCTTATTATACACGTTTTTTCAGGCCATCAGACGATTGTATCCTCAAAGCTACGATCAGCGGCGTGAGCTGAAAAAGTTAAATCATTCCATACTTGTAAATTTCATGGATTTACTTGACATTTTGATCAAATGTCCAGACTCAAGTAAACGAACAGACAAAATAGAAGATCTTAAACTGTTATTTATAAACATGCACCACCTCATCAACGAGTTTCGGCCACACCAAGCAAGGGAGACCATCAGAGTCATGCTGGAACTGCAGAAACGCAATCGTCATCAGGTACCATTTCTTTGCTCGAGATTATTTTTTCTGTATTCTTATGTGATTTAATGTTTGACAAAATTTCTCAATAATCATTAGGTAATGAAAACATTTAATTTGCATGCACTAGTTATTTTGTTCTTGCTGTTACATTCCTTTCAAATGCTACTATCGTTACAAATGTTACCGTTTTAGAGGCAAATGATTTTACCTTCTATGGATGTTGCCATGCTCTTCTTAATATTTCTAGTAATGCTCTCGTTGCTCATTTTATTACCACATATTTTTCTTTCGTTTCCTGCTGAAGAATATGATCTAGTAGAGGTGTAGTGTTGTTCAAGTACAATTGAGCGCTAGTTACTAACAGTTGAATAATTATTTTTTAAATTTTTTCTAGTTACATTTATAATCATTGCAAAAAGAATTACATATATGTATAACGACGTCATACTAACTCTATTCACAGTTTAATAACTTGTTCTGAATTACTGCCGTATAAAAAGTATTAAGTTTCATTAATATCTTCAGATCGCTGAGCGTTTGGAGCTGCTGGAGAGCTGCGTGCGGCGACAGGTGCGGGAGGCGCTGCAGGGTCTGCCCGACCAGGTGACGAGTCTGCTGGACGTGGAGCATCTGCTGCAGCCCACCGCCCCTGAGGACAAGCTCAAGCCGCGCGTCGAGGCCGGACAGCAGCCGCACGACAAAGTCTCCAGCCATGACAGGCTTATGTGCTCTATCGTCGATGCGCTCTGAATTACCAAGAAATTATAACTCAGTACTCACTGCAGTGAGTGACAGAGATCGCATTTTCTCGTCGACGAAAATGTGAAGTCACGAACGGACAGACGGACGGACATGGCGAGCACAATAGTGCATTTTTTTCATAAATGAGAAATGCGCTAACAAGAAGTGGCTTTTTCTGCCGTTTTACTCTGAATTACTCAAAGAAATAGTATATTTTTTCCTGTATCTTTCTGTGCCGTTCTGTTGTAAATAATTTTTTAGTCTTCAAGATATTTTTCATGGGCATCTAGTGACGGTAGACAAATTTGCTCCATTGTTAACAATTTCTGAATTATCTTCAATAGGAAAAAGGTTTATTCGGATATTCTTCAGTGCCGGGAAAAAAAATTTTCAGGCTAAAAATATTTCCCGTGGTCTTAGGGCCATGGTAGAAGAATGTGCTCCATTGGCAACGCTCCCAGAATTATTCTCACTAAGAACAGGTTTTTATTCAGACATTTTCCATTTCAGTTTGTATTGAATAGTTTTATGCCTGCAATATTTGTCCCACAATTCTGCCACGAAAGGCTCATCTACCTCCTTCGTCGACGCTCTCTGCATTATTCTTACTAAATGATGTGTCGTTGGTCGATGTCATTCTATAGTAATGACTTGATCAGCCTAACAACAAATGTCTACTTCGTTCTCTTTTAACTGTTTTGAACTTTTTTTACTCTTTCAACGTTTAATAATTTCCTATTTTTCAAGCGCCTTTCTTTCTCCGCGTATTTAGCGTATGGATTTTTTCTGTCTTAACAGGTCCGCATCTCTGGTTGATTTCTCTCATTGTATTCTTGATGGTATATTTGCTCATCTAGGTGTACCATTTCCTAAGTTTATTTATTTCTGATATTATTATAACCAGTGCTTCTAGTTCCTTTCAATGTTTTGTATTTTGTAAATAACTTATGATCGTAACCAATTCGATCGCTCTTATGTGCAAAAATCGTGTTCTCCTAAGAGCAAAAGGACAGCACAACGTGGTCGCCGCTTTTTACATGCATGCGACATTTGCCGTTATCGAGTAGTGATTAAGGTTTTTAAATGTATTTCTATGTTCTTGTTGCATCTGATTTACAATACATTGTCATTCCTTGCTTCGATATCATCTTTCCGCAATTATTCATTTCGTAATCACCAACGCTCATGCAATGCGATCGATAAATGTGTTTACGTAAATGATTAAAATTATTCATGTAGATTTTTATTGTTACAATTTACCTTGAAAGCTTGTCTACGAGCTTTGATGAAGCTGTTAACTTAGCGAAAAGTCCGATTTCCGTCATATGAAAAGTTGACCATACTTGAGCATCGCCATCTTGTCGATAACTGCTTTCTTTGAACCACTGTACGATCGTAGATAAATTTCTATGCTGGGGTTAAGCGAAGCATACAGCCATTGCCGGTGAGTTGTGATCGTATTTATTTCAGTTCAACATACCTCCTCGAAGCATGATTGCAGTCACTCATCATGGTACTCGCTACATTTTCATGCACCGAAGATGAATTCATGATTCTTTACGTCACTCTTCAGCATTACGTACAGAGGATCTAAACATGACGTTTCCTGACGTTAACAGCGTTGTGGGAAGAATGTTTTACATAAAATGTCGACGCCATTTCAGCGATGTCGAGAACATTTTAACTACGTTGGGAGCGCTTAGCATATGATGTAGCCTTGTAAATCCGAGGATTGAATTGGAAATTAGGGTACAGTACTATTTTTTTCCCTAATAGTACTACCTCATCAGGTGCAGAGATATAAAAACAGTATTTTAATCCAGTTTATTGCAGTTTACAGAGGACAGTCTGTTAGACCGAAAGATGAAATCAATTAATTCTTGGGGTCCCAAGAAAACGGAAAAATATATGTTTAACAGATATTTCCATCACTAGCTATGAATCACGCTCAAGCCCACTGTACTGCGAAGGTAATCCTTGATGAAGTCGATTCTAACAAACAATACATGGAAGGCTCACAGCCTTACGCATCTACATTCTGCATATGCTTAATAAGATCAACGACACGGTTGGAGTAGCCGTACTCGTTGTCGTACCATGAGACGACCTTCACAAACGTCTTGCTCAGCTGGATGCCGGCCTTGGCATCGAAGATAGATGACCTGTGGTCGCCAATGAAATCGCTTGACACGACATCGTCTTCGGTGTAGCCGAGATATCCCTTGAGAGGTCCCTCTGACGCGGCCTTCATAGCGGCCTTGATCTCGTCGTAGGAGCACTCCTTGCCAAGTCTCACGGTCAAGTCGACGACAGAGACATCGGGCGTGGGAACGCGGAAAGCCATGCCAGTGAGCTTGCCGTTGAGCTCGGGAATGACCTTACCTACAGCCTTAGCAGCGCCAGTGGATGAAGGGATGATATTCTGGCCAGCGCCCCGGCCACCGCGCCAGTCCTTGGCCGAGGGACCATCGACAGTCTTCTGAGTAGCGGTGACGGCGTGCACGGTCGTCATGAGTCCCTCCTCAATACCGAAGGAGTCGTTGAGCACCTTGGCGACGGGCGCGAGGCAGTTGGTGGTGCACGAGGCGTTCGACACAATTGTCATGTCCTTGCTATATTTCTCGTGGTTCACGCCCATGACGAACATGGGAGCATCAGCAGATGGGGCCGAAATGATTACTTTTTTGCCGCCGTTGCTAAAATGAGCCTTGGCCTTGTCAAGAGTGGTGAAGACGCCAGTGGATTCGACGATGTACTCGGCACCAGCGCTTCCCCATGGAATGTTATCAGGCTTCATTTCATTGAAGACCTTGATGACATGGCCGTTGACAACGAGGTTGCCACCGTCAGCCTTCACGTCACCCTTGAACGTGCCATGAGTCGAGTCATACCTGAGTGGGGGAAAAAATAACCTTAGATTCTTACGCCTGTTAATGAACTCTGCAGGTGGGTTAGGCAGCAAAATATTGCCACAAATTGTACAACAGAAAATAATTGAACTCGAACTACGCAGTGCCGGAAACAAAATACATAGGAAGTTCGAAGCAAAGAAGTTGCATCGGCTACAGCTAAATGACGGACGCGCGAGATTGAGATAGCAATAACAACTGTACCGGAAACGGTTCATGCACGTCATATTTGTTTAACATATTTGTATAGCGTGAACGCAACCCATCGAACATGGTATGGTAATATCACCATTATATTAAGGAACAAGGAAATGTCAATCATATGTCAGCGGCGTCGAGCCGGCAACATCAGAGTATTAATACACAGGCAGACGACAGTATGTACTAAATGAATCAGAATGTACTAAAACATACTATATGCATCATAATCGGCAAAATGTAACTGAACTTTCTAATTTGATGGAAAACTGATTTTCAGTACAATTAACCAATTCCGTGATTAGATATAGATATTTCGTGTACTTTCGCCAGTTTATGCGAAAGCTCAATTCCATTGCAAGTACTAAAATTTGTACGTCAGTCAGGGTAATGAAATGTCAAGTTGGGGTCTACCTACTTGAACATGTAGACCATGTAGTCCAAGGTGATGAATGGGTCGTTCACCGCCACCACCTGAAACGCAAAATATGTATTTAAATACAAGGATCAACACGGATGGTAAATTGCAAGATTTGTCATCAATATTTTCTCCTATAAATTTTTTAAACATGGGCATTAAGCTGGTTTGAAACATCAGATCCACACCGTGATGCTAATTAAGCCCAGTAATATCATATTAGTTTAACCCTCTACCGCCTGACACGAGTAAACGGAGCAATATTGTCACAAGCCTACTTCCCAAAAAGGATACGCTGCTAGTGAGCGCAAAATGACTTGCACTGATGGTTGCCGCCACGTACGTAAATTTTCAAATGTTCGCTGTTGCGTACAAACGTCCTCGGGTTGCTACACTAGATTGTTTACGTATAATTCAAGTTTAAAGTTATGTTCCCGCAGCGTGACATACGGCGGTAGAGTATTAATTTGAAATGTGCGAGTTATGAAACGCGCTTATTATGAGCCAAGGTCGTCGAGGTCAACCTTCTATGCATAGAAGGTACTGGTAGTCTGTCTGCAGCACAGTAGCCACTGCCACGCTATTTTAAACCTTGCTCCTTCGAAAGATCATGAGAAGTTTTGTGTCGATGCTAGTAACGACAGACAATAGCTTGCAGGGCATTTTTATTCAACCTGAACACATGTTCAGCTACGGAGTATAAGCTGTAAAACTAATAAATTGCATGCGACGTTAGCTATGAAAAAAATGAATTAAATTAGCCTGTGGTTTAAAAAATTATGATTAAAGAGCATTTAGTTCATAAACCAAATTATACATAAATTCATAAACTATTTAGATTTTAGAATATATTCAATATTTCTCAATTTTTAATTTAGAAAAATCATCATTCCATTTTAGTTCTCTTACTTCAGCTCCCTTCTCAATAGCGCAACGCAGCACCAGGCGCCCGATGCGGCCAAATCCGTTAATTCCGATCTTCGACATGATGTTAGCTGAGCTGGAGTGATGACTACACGGTACAACGGCTGCGAAATGAAATGGGTTAGAATTTGCTTCTTACAACATAATTTTCATGAAAAAAATTAATTCTATGAAGTGCGCAGCAGCGTAAGTAACTCTGTGACTGTGTGACATACCTGCACAGAGCACATTACTGTAGCGCATATACAAGAAGGCTTAATTTTAACTTAAAGGTCGGCTGTCAAATTCTCATGTATGTATATCGTAAATCAACGTTTCGTGAATCGCCGTGTCAATTAGTCCGCACGTACTAACCGTAAAGTCATTAAACGTGTTGTCTTTACAAGCCCCGCCCTAAGCCTAACGTTGCTTAAGATTATTTTTTACACTACTGATAATTCATCAAACAGTCTGCTTCATTCCTATTATTCCACTTTAACATTCTGTGAAGTTGAACATTCATTTTCTTTTGAGAATAATAATTTAGTGCAGAAACTATCTTTAATCGACAGTCAAGAACAAATTCAGAATGGAAAAAATTATACACGTGTTCGAGCTCAAAAAATCTTGAATGTTTAGTGACTTTAGTCTGTATCATCAAAATTCAAGAAGTTAGAATGTAAATTAATCTATAAAAATATGAAGCCGGACATTTCGTTTACGTGCGAAGCAACTTCAACTCAATGGCGTCTCAAGGGCATTCCATAAAATAACCGGTTTACAAATTCGTCAACTGCCTAATGTCAGACAGTCAAATCTTCCGAATATATACCAATGCCGTTACAATATAGAAAATATCAAAATAAAATTGAATACTTTAATATTTATCTATTGGAGGAGATCAAGCTTTACCAAGATCAGAGAGAAATTTTGATATCCACACTCACCGAATGCTCTGACTAGACTGCCAGCTCTGAGATCGTCTGCTTCGCAACAAGCAACGGTGCGCCGGTTAGCAGACAGCTTTATTGATCAAGCATTATTTTGAATGTATATAACCATGTCTTCAAATTTAAGAAAAATATCTTTCCTGAAAATTTTGCGGTGTTTTAAATTCCAAATTTCAAATAATTGGTCATAAATTGGTTCACTAAGTCAAGGTGCCTTTTCTATGGGCAAAGCCGGTGGCACCTTGATTGACCTTGAAAACTATTAAAGGACAAACTAGTCCGTTGGTTTTGTGTTCTAGAGCTATCTATATAAATGCAAATTCTTGTACTGCAAGCAATCATTTTTAATATAAAATTTTACGTAATAATATGTTTTTAAACAACAATGTGCTCGATTTCTTCCGAAGGAAGCAAGTGTGGATGTTTATCGATTGAACGCCTTGAGATGCAAAAGAAGTTGCGAGTGCCTTTGCAGAGCAAACTAGTGAACGACCTTGACTTTTAATTAAAGACAAGTTCATAAATTAGAAAAATTTACGATCTGTTAACAGCATTTGTTTAATTAAAATTATTTCAATTTTATGTGGCAACGTCAATTAAGGTTTTCTACTGGGTCCCTATCGTAAAAATCTAAGATGAAATTATTTGAAAAAACGATTGATCAAAACCGCTCCAAACTGTTCTTAATTTGTCTAATTGTCATGTGCCAGCGACTATAGCTTGAGTACGTCAACAACTCTTGTTCAAGATAGAAATAAATTATTAATATGAAGCTTTATGGCGCTTAATAAATGTATTTGGGGCCAAATTTGCAATAAATTTGCTGAAATAATAGTTCAAGTTGAATTAGATGCTCTGATAATACAGTTCTTTTGAGGAATTGGCATCAATATCTTTATTTTTATTGTAATTATTTTATACGGAAAAATTACACGATTTAATGATTAAATCCCCTGTGTTTGTTTATATATATATTCTCAGATCATGGGTCTCCACAGCCCTACAAAATTCTGCAGTGGATGAATGGCGCCGATATTTTAACAAATAACAAGTCGTAAAATATTCACCTAAGATTTGTTTTCGAGCGTTGACGTGTTCTCACTCAACTGGTAGTGTGACCCTAGGCACATCAATGATTAATTAAATGCTCACTAACCAATATAATTACAGACAAGCGATTGAAGATATAAATAGATTCAGAATATATTATGAATGATACTCGAGGGCTATGTTATATTAAACAATGATAAAATACTAAGAAGAAATGTCAAGAATTGCAGATCAAATTTTCTCTTCATTCTCTCTGTAAAGTCTCAAAACGAATTTGCAAGATGAGATGTTGTGAATTCCCAAGATGCAATAATACATTTATACATATTCATTTATACAGGTTTGGTTGAAGACCAGAGCGTACTTTTTATTTACGATTTTCTTATTGTTCTTTTCGATAAGCCGAACAAAATTTCTAGCTGTAAAGACAACACTTCCAAAGAATCCAGTGTCTCTAATCTTACAAATGTACTATGAATTTCTCATTTAATTTTCAAATTAAAAAATTAATTTTTCAATTTTTTTGATATATAAATTTTTTAATATATAATTTTTTTCAAAATTATTTATTCTATTAATTGATTCATGTATTGCCTCTGACTTCACACAAGTGTGCAAAATTTCAGATCAATCAGACAGGTAAAAGTGAGTCAAATATCAGTTATAAGATTTGTAGCTGACAAAATTATTTTTTCAATTTTTTTTTATTGAAAAAAAAATTTAATTTTTAAAATCTTTTATTTTGACATTTGATTCATGCATTGTCTCCAACTTTACACAAGTGTGCAAAATTTCAGATCCATAGGAAAAGTAGAAGTGTATTAAATTTCGATTACAAGATTTGTAGCTGACAGACAGACAAACAAGAAGTGAAGTTAAAGAGAAGTGTTGTAATAAAAACATGGGTCTTTGTATGCATGGGAGTGATGGGACTTTGTGAATAACAAGTTCGTGGGTCATAATGGCTTTTCACGGCCAAGATATGGAAATCATGGCTCAAAGAAATGGAATCACGGCTGGCAAACCCATGAAGCCATGGCTTGAAGAATTAGAAACACAGCTGGCAAACCAATGAAGCCACGGCTCAAAAATTTATTTGTGCTTGCCAAGTAGATAGGTATAGTATTCCATGCCTGTTATGGCAAATGACTTTTTTGTTGACTTTCCTGATTGAGTCCTATTTTAGACCAGTAATTATTAATGGTCCAAGGCACAAGCAACTATATACAAGCATCAATGATTAACTATAATTTATTAACATAGGTACATGAGTTATTCAATAAAATTATGAAATATAACAGAAAATGAAAATTAAAATTGTTTTTTATTTTACATTTTATTTGCTACTCAATCCCAGTTTGGAAGAATATTGGATAGAATTTATTTTAAAATTGCAAATAAAAGCTTATAAAAGTGAATTGGATGCAAAAATGGGCTCTTTTTAGCGCATTTTAACACGTTTTTCTTAACTTAGCTTCGCGTTTGTTTGTTTGTTTGTTTGTTTGTTGTTAACATTGACAACGAAAATTAGCCCACTTCTGATTGCTCTAGAGGTCTGAAATTCGGCATGCAGGCTATTTTAGCCTAACAATTTCAGATACAATCATAAAAACTAGCAATTAGAGACCTAAATTAGCTTAATTGAGTAAAGTTTATATATATAGGTATATATAGTATGACGTGCGGGCGCTGACATTATAGACGAGCATGCGCTGACACTGCGTATCATTGATACGCATTGAACTTTTTAAAAACCACGTTTTTCATGTGTAGCAATGGACTAAAAAGAAGAAAATAAAATACTTAAAAAAACTTTTTAAAAAACCACGTTTTTCTTTTGGACTAAAAAGTAGAAAATTGAAAAGAACAATAAGAAAATCGTAAATAAAAAGTACGCTCTGGTCTTCAACCAAACCTGTATAAATGAAGAACTTCTGCCTAACTACACTAATATTATACATATTCGTGCATCTATCCTATTTAAAAACTTTGCATATCCCCACAGTTGCAGATGTATTACATTTCATTGTCAATAGTAGATTATTAGTTACTCGCAGTCGAAACGTTCTATCAAGTATGTATACAAATATTTGCAACATTATTCCCCCACATAACTATATGATTAATGTCTGATGAACGAACGCAACGAAAATTGACTTATTTTAACATACTGCACACTCTTCATTGACGCAATACCTCATCCCGTTAATAATAATATTAATGCGCACATAAAATAACAAAATAATATCACCTTCAGAGTCAAAAATATATCGACAATAGTGTTCATAATTCCAAAACTCATTTCCAATATGAATAAATTATTTAGCAAATTATAAATCAAATTTATATATACAAATTGTACAATCAACTTTAAATTTTCGATCCAATTGTTTTCTATTCATGCCGACCTCTAATATAAGGAGGAATTGAACAAATTTTCTCTGTCGACAAGTAACATAAAAGGGACTGAGAACGTATCGAGTTTTTCAAAATCAAAGTGCAATAATTATGACGAATAATATTTACTAAATCATTTTAGATGTGAGCTTAAAACGATAGCATCTCGAATGAAAATTAACATGCATATATCATTTAGACAAGTGGTTCCCAATCTGTTGACATTATGAGCCCTAAAAGTTGCATGCAGGCGTAAATACTGAGTTAAATAATATGGTAAAATATTCTCAACTTGGTCACACCCTCCACAAAGGATGGCGGTAATGCATCGACATGAAAACGATTGCGTCGTCGATAAGATTATCGCCTACGTGCCCTCACAATCTTACCGACCAAAAACTATGCATTGTTACGTAAAATGTGTTCGCACTTTTTAGCTCATTTTTAGCTCATTATCTCATTTATGGAAAAAATGCACTATTGTGCTCGCCATGTCCGTCCGTCCGTCTGTCTGGCTCGATCGACAATTCTACGGACTCGCCAGCGGACTCGCCTGCGGACTCGAGCAACTGGGCCACTCATAATCCATTAAATACTTAACGGATCTGTATGAATTTTGGAATATAAGTATTAATTATCGATATGCTGCCGCAGGAATTATTACAGATTTTTACATGAATTATTTTTTATATAAACCCAATAAACTTATTTTTTAAGCAACTGGGCCACTCATAATTCCTTAAATACTTAACGAATCTGTATGAATTTTGGAATGTGATTATTATTTATCGATACGCTGCCGCAGGAATTATTACAGATTTGACAGTTACAGATTTGACAGTTACAGATTGGACAGTTAGAAGCATGGTTTAATTAATACAGTATTAATTCAACCATGTTAGAAGTGTGTTAAATATCGATTATAAGATATGTAGCAGACAAAATTATTTACTCATTTTTTATGGAAAATAACTTTTTATTTTAGAATTTGTTTATTCTGTCAATAGAATCATACATTGTCTCCAACTTTACGCAAGTGTGCAAAATTGCAGATCGATTGGACTGGTAGAAGTGTGTTAAATATCGATAATAAGATTTGTAGCAGGCAGACAAACAAACATGAAGTGAAGTTAAAGAGAAGTGTTGTAAAAATGGCGATAATTGTAGCGCTAGGCATTGACCTTTAAATTAACTCACAAACTCTTTAGTGGACAAGTTGTCATTATGGCATCTTGAAATCTCGACCAAAAGCCCACCATGCGTCCTGCCTCTGTTACCTTGTCATGTACAACACTTCTCTTTAACTTCACTTCTTGTTGTTTGTTTTGTTTGTCTGCTACAAATCTTATAATCGATATTTAACACACTTCTACCTCTCCAATCGATCTGAAATTTTGCACACTAGTGTAAAGTTGGAGACAATGCATGAATCAATTGAAAGAATGAATAATTTTGAAGATTTAGAAAATTATATTTTTAATATTAAAAGAAATTGAAAAAATAATTGTGTCTGCTACATATCTTATAATCGATATTTAACTCTGGTCTGAACCTGTCCAATCGAACTGAAATTTTGCACACTTGTGTAAAGTCAAAGACAATCCATGAATCCATTGACAGAATAAATAATTTTGAAAATTTTAAATTTATTTTAAATTTTAAAACTAAATTTAAAAATTATTTTTATATATATTTGATAATAAAATTAGAAATTCATTGTACATGTGTTACATCGGAGACACTGGATTCTTTGGAAGTGCTGTCTTTAAAAAGTAATTTTTAAACGCATATTATTTTATCAATCATCTGCCCACGTTCCATTGGTAGCATCTCCCCTTACTATGATCAAGATTGAAATATCAGTTTTCAGGGAATAGTTGTGGCGCAGCCTTTGGAATGTACGCCTTTTCGTTTATTATTTTATAACATGAGAGAAGCAACATTGCTTCTATTAAAAACAGTAATATGAAGATACTGTGTCAAATTAAACTTAGTTCTTTTTTCATTTGTTTGCTTCCATTTAAATAATATGTAATTATTTCATGCATATATATAATACCTAATTCTCATTCTTATTGATAAGGTTTACGTGCGTTTTTTTAATAAAAATGCCAAAATGACCGTAGTCCCTCACCTATCAATATGAGGTGCGCAGCCGTAGACCAGCAAATTAACGCTCAAATCAGCCCTGGAGCCAACATCAACCATCTAAATGCTATAGATATTGTCATCCTGGCACCTAAGCAGCTGTAGTCAATTGACCTATCTCACCGCACGAACTTTAAACAACACTGCTTCAACATATAATCCCTTAGTCTACTCTGCCCTTTAGCAGGCTTAGGATGAAAGGAGGATGAAAGATATGCTGGATGATGAAAGATATGGATGATGAAAGATATGCTGGTCTTGGGTAATGCTGGCTTCTGGCATGCATCCCTCAATATGACCGTAGTCCCAGACCTCGGCCGTGATAGGGGAAATCCGCGTTAGAGAATTGAAGGACTCATAATGCTTTTTATGTATTTATTTTGTAATTGGCTGGTGAGTTTTTATTGTTCTGAGTGTTTATAAACCCTTCCTTTACTTCTAATGTAATTCAACATATATTTTATGTGAAAAATAAACTGCCGATTGAGTTCCGCTAACTTTTTAAATTTACCGATCGACTTTCTCACTAACATGCGAACCAGCGAAGATCGGCGAATGATTTTCTCATTAACATTTCTTGGAAACTAGAGATGATGTGAAGCCGCGGTGGGTGAAGCGCGACATTGCGAGGAACTACTATATGATCTTGATAATATGGTGTGAGCATAACTTGGACGACATCGAAAAATATATGATGCTCGATTAAGCATTACCTGTTCGTGTCTTTCGCAGTTCTCGATAATGATGGTGGAACGAGGTGAATCTAAAATATTTAATTTATGGCTGAATGGCCCTAGCTCGCACCTGAGTTGGAAGGACTCATTTTAAATTTTACCATGAGAAAAATCTCCTATATGGATGACCGAATCGATGTTTCAGGCGATGCAGCAGGTTTCGGACAAATTTAAGGCTGGTCCCGCGGCCGGACTCACGGCCGCTCTCCCCGAATTCAGTGAGCTAGGAATATCTCCCAAAGTAATGATCGTACTCATAGGAGGTCTCGGAAAAATTTACGGCCGGACCCGCGGCCGGAAAAGTTTTCTTAGTGTTTTTATGGGTTTTCTATTTTTTGTGTTTTTAATGGAACTTGTTTGTTCCTAACTGGAACTAACCTGCGAGGTTTTCGTGGATTGGCTAGGTTTTTTCTATGTTTGGAGTCCTGTGGCCGCGAGACCGGCCGCGGGTCTGGCCATAAATTTGTCCGAGACGTCTCATAAGTGGGAACCGGTAGTAATTTCTGAATAGAAGAATTCTATTCAGAATTCTATCAATAGAATTTCTAGTGATAGAATCTATCAATAGAAGTGTCAAAAGAATCAATGATAGATGAGCTTCGCCACGAGGCTCCGTTGGGCAAAAGCCACCACCAATCATTGTTTTTCAATATTAAGTGTTGCTCAGAAAAGACGCTTCGGAAGCGTAAACGTTTGAACTTTGCGAAAGGCGACTATGATACACTCCGTGAAACGGTGAATGCGGCGAATATTTCGGACTGTATTGAGGACATGAATGTGGCTGATTCATGGTCGTTTCTCAAAGACACGGTTATGTCTGCAGTTGATGCTTGTGTACCCAAGATTACGCTTGGAGGAGTCAAAAAATCCCAGTGGATGAACAGTGCAGTTAAGACTCAGCTAAAGACCAAGAAAGAAGCCTACAAGCGTTATTTACGAACTCGCAGCGAGTCTGATTATAACCTGTATGCCAGAGCTCGAAATCAAGCTAAAAAAGTTTGTCGCACTGCAGTGAAAAACTTTGAAAAAAATATTGCCAAAAATGCAAAAAAAGAATCTGAAAGCCTTCTTTTTGTACGCTAATTCGAAGTGTAAGTCAAAGGACGGTATTTCTGATTTGAAAGTAGACCAACGAAAGATTTCCTCTGATGAGGGCAAGGCTAACGTTCTTAATCAGTTCTTCAGCAGTGTGTTCACAGATGAGGACTTGAACAGTATTCCAGATATTGAGGAGCGCCCAGTCGGCTCGAAGCTAACATAAGTATACAAGTATACTCATGGTCTATACAAGGTCCCTGAAGGGTTACTAGAATTTGAAACAAGAACCAACACCAGGGACCACGGCTATAAGCTAAAAAAACTGTGCTGCAACTTCTTCACGCGACAAAATTTCTTCTCGCTTCGAATCACCGACATGTGGAACAGCCTCCCCGATGACATCGTTGGCGCTCCAAGTATGAACGCGTTCAAGAACAGACTAGATAAAGCTATGGAAAAATATATGTTCAGATTGGAAATGCCTTGCTCCTTATCGAACCCGGTGGAAGTCTAGTAGCTACTTCAAACTATCGTCAGTCATGAAAAGATCCGGTCTAATGACACGAGTTTAGATCTATGAACAAGGCACGAAAAGGAAAAGAATTTGCGACAGGCCACATCAGGCCTACACTTCAGCGCCGACATCACTATGTTATGTAACTTATGTAATATGTTATGTTATGTTAGTATTGAAGAAATAGGCCCATGGTCGCTAAAGTTTTTTTAATCGCTTAGCCAGTAAGTATAGTTCTACATTGCGTATTATTATTATATTCGTATGTCATTCCAATCTATATTGTAGGTAACTAACTCATAAAATGAATGATAATAGGTTTTATTTTGTGAAACCCATATCAGATGCTCACTTGCTCGTTGCTCCTCTCAAAAAATAGAAAAGAGTGGCGGTTGATATAAATTTAATATATTATTGACTGCCTATGAACGTAATTCAACGTATAACGGTATAAGCTTCCATTAGAAATTAACTATGAAATTTATTACTATTAGAAAACAAAATGATTGGTCAATTTTTTAGGGTAATTTTTATCTTGCATATATGCGTATTGAGCGCGAACTGCGTTGTGTGAAGCACCGCCATCAGTGCACCGAAATTACAAACAACCCTTGCAACGATATTAGCCGTCGCGTCGAAACAAAGAATACATTTTGTAGAAATTGTAGTTCCATTTGTTTGTTTATTCATCAGAATGGAGTCTGGAGATGAAGGTTCAAAAACTGAGTGAGTATTTCCAGTGCTTGATAACTGTTTATTGTGACGATTCATTGCCGTGCGTCCATTGGAAGTTCCGAGCCGTTCAAGTCAGCCTCGCTTAGCATAGCGTCGGCATCAAAGCCTCACGCGGACGACAACAAACTTTTTGAAGATAATTCTGAAATCATAACGTCTATTGAATTCTAATACGGATCGTTATTTTAACATCGTATTTTCAAAAATCAAGAATTGCATTTCTTTTAATTGAAAAACATTCTTTTACATAAAAAACAACGAATTTTTTCTTACAGCTCTTCAGGAATGACGAATGAATGCTCCTTAAGTCCTCATATTGACAAATGACGATCTTACTCTTATAGCTAAAAATTTTAAATTGAACGATTTTGTCATTTCAAAGACTCCATTGATTACAGTTGGCCAGTCTGTAGAGTATGGCACAACATAGGTCGAGGACGCCGTTTTTCTGCCCAAAAGACTCCAAGGCACCATCTAAACGGACGGTGGACGCCGATGTTTGCAGCAAACGGACGGCGAGGTTGTGGCCAATGCCCAATGATCGATTCTGACGCTCATGCTTCGCGAACGATGCGGCAAGATTGACATGGATGCAAGCATTCTGCGATCGATGTGGCCGATGTCCAATGGTAAATTCCGATGCTCACGATTCGCGAACGATGCGGCATGATTGACATGAATGCAAGCATTCTACGATCGATGTGTCCAATGCCTAATAATCGATTCCGACGCTCACGCTTCGCGAACGATGCCGCATGATTGACATGGATGCACATATTTTACGATCGATGTGGCCGATGCCCTATGATCAATTCCGACGTTCACGATTCGCGATTGCTGCGGCATGATTGACATATATGCATGCATTTTACGATCGATGTGGCCGATGTCTCATGATCAATTCAGATATTCACGATTCGGGAATGATGTGCATGATTGACATGAATGCAAGCATTCTACGATCGATGTAATCAATGCCCAATGATCGATTATGACGCTCACGCTTTGCAAACTATGCGGCATGATCGACCCAGATGCACGCATTTTACGATCAATGTGGCTGACTCTCGCTTCGCGATCGATGCGGCATGATTGACATGGGTGCACGCATTTTACGATCGAAGTGGCCAATACCCCATAGTCGATTACGACGTTCACGATTAGCTAACGATGCGGCTTGATTGACATGGATGCACGAATTTTACAATCGATGTGACCAATGCCCAATGATTGATTCCGATGCTCGTGCTTCGCGAACGATGCAGCATGTTTATGGCAGGGTGGCCCAGTGATTAAAGTTCTGAGTACCAGGATTGGCGCGGGTTCTATCCCAGCTCTGTGCGGCAGTCTCTGGTCAGAATCGGCAAGGAGGTCGGGCAGTTAAGCACAGCAGAATTGTAGCAGTGAGTTGCAAGTTCGAGACCACAAGATGCTGTGAATGTTCTGCGATGTTAAGAATCGGCGACAGGCCTACGGTCTAATGTCAATCATGCCGCATCGTTTGCGAATCGTGAACGTCGGAATTGATCATGGGCATCAGCCATATAGATCGTGAAATGCGTGCATCCATGTCAATCATGCTGCATTGTTCTCGAAGCGAGTGCGTCGGCCACATCAATCGTAAATTGCGTGCATCCATGTCAATCATGCCGCATTCACTGAGAGAAAAAGGCCCCCCGTTTTGAAACACTTGGGTGTTTCAAAACCTCTCGAGCTTGACGCGCATATACAGTATTTGTGCGGCAAGCGTCGCATGGTCAGTGCGCCGAATGCTGTCAGAGGAAGTGGTTGTGTGGAGCCGCCGCTCATGAATGCCACGAATCTATACTGCTTACGGTTAATTGACCCAACTCAATTCGGTTAATTGTTTCAACTCACTGCTGTTCTTTTGGCAATAGTAATGTTAACAAGCGACGTCTATACCATTCAATCGCACAAGAAGTTGATCATAAAATCGGAGATTTATTCTGGTAGTACCGCGCGCAAGACAAAACAAACACGGCAGCTCTATGTAGTTGCCGTCTCCGTAGCTGAGTGGACTAAGGCGTCTGCTCGCGAGCATTTGGTTGCAGTCTTGGCAGAGGTTCGAATCTCAGCGGGCGACTCATAGTTTCTTCAACCAGAGTTCAATAGAGGTGAGAGCAAAGAGTGTAGTTTCATGCTGATTGTACATACCGATGTAAATTGTGTAATAAATATGTGTATAAAAGAAGTAATATGTGACTAATATCGCTGTGAAGGAGAAAAGTGTTGAAATCAGATAGAGACGGAGAAATATAGTTTTCATTATTTTGGTATGGAGGCGGCCATGGATTAAACTGGGATTGACCGGAGGTGTAGAATATGTTAAAATAATTTCATCAGGCGCTGGAAGCTGGACAAGGATTTTGCATAAATTCTGAAAAGAAGGTTTCATTCTCCGTAGACTTCTTTTGGTGTTCTAACGTTGAAACACCTAGGTGTTTCATAATCGCAAATTTTGAAACACCTGAACGTTTTTGAAACACACGGGTGTTTCGCTTTGGGCACGATCGCTCGGGGAGAATTTGAAACACCCAAGTGTTTCAAAACAGGGGGCCTTTTTACTCAGTGTTGTTCGCGAAGCGAGAGGATCGGCCACATGGATCGTAAAATGCGTGCATCCGTGTTGATCATGCCGCATCGTTCATGAAGCAAGAGCGTCGGCCAAATTGATCGTAAAATGCATGCATCCGTATTGATCATGCTGAATCGTTCACGAAGCGTAAGATTCGGAATTGATCATAGGGCATCGGCCACATTGATCGTAAAATGCTTGCATCCTTGTCAATCATGCCGCAGCGTTCGCGAATCGTGAACATCGGAATCGATCATTGGGCATTGGCCATATCGATTGTAAAATGCGTGCATCCATGTCAATCATGCCGCGTCGTTCGCGAAGCGAGAGCGTCGGCCACATGGATCGTAAAATGCATGCATCCATGTTGATCATGCCGCATCGTTCGTGAAGTGAGAGCGTCGGCCACATTGATCGTAAAATGAGTGCATCCATGATAATCATGCCACATCATTTGCGAATCATGAATGTCGGAATTGATCATGGGCATTGGCCATATCAATCGTAATATGCGTGCATTCGTGTCTATCATGCCACATCGTTTGCAAAGCGTGAGCGTTCACTGAGAGAAAAAGGCCCCCTGTTTTGAAACACTCGAGTGTTTCAAATCCTTACCGAGCGATCGGGCCCAAAGCAAAACACCCGTGTGTTTCAAAAACGTTCAGGTGTTTCAAAATGTGCGATTTTGAAACACCTAGGTGTTTCAACGTTAGAACACCGAAAGAAGTCTAGGGAATATGAAACCTTCTTTTCAGAATTTATGCAATATCCTTGTCCAGCTTCCAGCGCCTGATGAAATTATTTTAACATATTCTACTCCTCTGGTGACTGGTCGATCCCAGTTTAATCTATGGCCGCCTCCATACCAAAATTATGAAAACCATATTTCTCCATCTCTATCTGATTTCAACGCTTTTCTCCTTCACAGCGAAATTAGTCACATATTCATTCTTTTATAGACATATTTATTACACAATTTATATCGGTATGTACAATCATCATGAAAGTATACTCTTTGTTCTTACCTCTATCGAACTCTGGTTGAAGAAACTATGAGTCGCCCGCCGAGATTCGAACCTCTGCCAAGACTGCAACCAAACGCTCGCGAGCAGGCGCCTTAGTCCACTCAGCTACGGGGACGGCAACTACATAGAGCTGCCGTGTTTGTTTTGTCTTGCGCGCGGTACTACCAGAATAAATCTTCGATTTTATGATCAACTTCTTGTGCGATTGAATGGTATAGACGT